CCCCCTCTCTCTCTCTTCGTGAACTTGTTCCAATAATCTTGAAATTAAACCAATCGGGCAGATGCATTTTATATCCCCTCATTTTTATGCTGCATTTCTTCTCCCTTTCCTTTACATTTTTTACACTTTACAGAAGCAACGCTAATCGCTAAGCCGTGTCTTTAATTACCTAAACAGTGACAAAGATCTTTCCTAAGGGAATTGTTTCAACGACTTTTTTATAAGAAACCGAATCCTCTCACCTTGTTTTTCTATATTTTACCACTTAGCGGCGCGTCAAAGATTTCTAAAACGAATTAAAGTGTGTCAAACTGTCCTTTGCTATCGGTAAAAAAGTACGCAAACAATGAACACCAATCGAATGCGTAAAATTGAATCCTCGATGTGACGCGAGTAGAACACGTGCATCGACACGTGATATCCGGCCCATGCCGGCAAATCATTTTGAGAATATACGATATATGTAACTGCCAAGCGAGGCGATCCCGGATGTATTGATCGATTCTTGTTTTCGCTTCGAACAAAACCACTTTCCCGTTGCATGATCAGCAATGCGGTAACGTCAAGTGTGTAAACACGAAATTAATTACAGCGTAGCGTTACGAAATAGCTAATTCTCGAGTTTTTCTTACATATTCGCTCGTTGGATTCTTCCTGGCGATTTGTCAATTTCCGCACAGATATTCTACTCTGACTAATGGTTATAAAATACCGCATCTCATCTTCGATCAGAAAAGGAATTATCGATAATTAATTACGAAGGAGATAAGAGGCTCGTAGTGACATGGTAAAACGAAAGAGAGATGCGTTTTCTAGGATCCACAAACTTCCTTCGATCGTGAAAAGAATATGAACGACGAAAAAGGAAACAAATACGGTGGTCTATAGAAAAAGATGTAATTATGTGGAATACAATGGTTGTATCGAGAAGACGAGCGCAGGGCAGGAACAGGGACTTTCTCTCTCGCATACACACTGGCTGGCGAGGCTGAAATGAAATATTGATCTGCGGAGGCGCGCGCAACCCCTGCAACCGACCCGCCCTTCTTCCTCGGCCACCATTTTCCGTTCTCGTCACCTGCCATCTCCCGGACCCTCCTTCCCCTGCTCCTGCCCCCGCCCAAATCTTGTCCAAATAGCTTATCTTTTCAACAATTGTTTCTTCCTTTACCACGGGCCCTCTTCAACTCGTCAATAGGTCTACGATTCTTCTCATACGACGTATCTCCTCCTCCTCCTCCTCATATCTCAACGGCTGAGCACAGGCGTAAGAGCGATTTAAAAGCAATCGAGAATAGAAAGAAAGAAGGGATCGTCGTCAGTTTTAAAAACCTAGCATGATTCGTGTAATTTTACACGAAACAGGATGGCTAATTTGATAAGAAACAATATAGCAAAGTAGACCAACGTGCTTGTCCAATCCTCAGCTATACACGTAACTTGGACGTGTATTACTATCGATGAACGTACGAAAGGTTGGTAACGCGCGTGCTTGCTTCCTCGATTCGATCGCCTTACTTTTCGGATATTAAATACGATAAAGGTTGAAAGCTGAATAGGTCTGCTGCTCGAGCCGTTTTAGATCGCGTGAAAACAATTCGCCGATTCTCCAATTCTTAATACCGAATTGTCGAGAAGCATTCGTGTATCGAACGATTACTTATCTTATATATGTATATTAGTTTTTCGTAGGATGCCTGTAGCTGCCGATAAGGCGAGAGCTTGTTCGATCGTCGCTCGGCCATGAACGAGTTTCTCGTTTCGCGCGAAGGGCCAACTTCAATACACCCTTTCGAGGTTGAACGGTTTGGAGGTTAGGTGGACGATATAAACGTATCAATGAAAAGTGAAGGAAAAAAGAAACGTACAACATATGGAGAATTGAGGAAACGTAACTGTTACGACACTGACGACCTTGCGCCGCACCGGTAAAACACCTTAGTTTGGAAACCGTGATCGCGTTTGCAACTTTGGCTTCAACGAAAAACACCGCTAGCCCGTTGCGGTGAATCGAAACACATCGACGAGCGTAGTCGACAGACTTTCAAGGATATTTCGTTATTGATTTTCAATAGTAAACGCACCGCGCTATTTTTATTACGTTGCTCCAGAAGATTCGGTTACTATTCGCGAGACATTGGAGCCTGAAAATCTTTCAAGCGACGAACGTCACGTATGTTAAAAATACGAAGAAAAAGGTGGTCGGTCGATTGTGAGATAAGAAATATTTGGCTAAATCGAAGAAAGAAATCGCTGTTACATATTTGAAATGACGAACAAGTTTAGGAAATATATGTTGCAAGTGGGAAACGGTACGTGCTACAGGTGGTAGTATAGAGATACTGCGTGGGCGTGCTGCCGGTGAAGCTGCTCTTTCGACCCTCGTCTCTCTCGCAATCAGAGTTTCTCCCTTCGAGAGAAACTACCGATACTCTTTCTTCGCACATTTTTCACATCAACGATCTTTCGCATTTCTCTCTGGACAGAAACGAAAGGAAAAATGAAAATTTGCATTCGATTAAAATCATTGCCAGTGCACTTGCTGCCGACTAACTTACACAATCGACGTTGCAAGTGCATGCTTTTACCACTGCCATTCACTCCTCTTCTAATACACGCTTCTACCGTTACGCTCGATATTTTCATTCACCTACGACGAAATCCTACGCTAGCTCGAGTTCATCGAGTGAGTATTCGAGGTGGGGAGGAAGGTTGGCCGTGACGAGTCGGACCCGTTTCGACTCCTACCTCTACGCTCTACACACCTCTTCCCGTTTCGTCCACCGACGAGAAACAAGGAGAACGTTCGACGCAACCATCTGCACGAGTCGCGTAGTATCCGTATCAACGAGCTTCGCGCGATCGTCTCGACTCGACTTACGCCAAGATCATATGAAACGACGCTGTCGCTGTACAAAAAACTCGTTTGCCCAGTATTCTAACGCGTTAAAGGAAAAACGATAACGGAGGGGGGAGAGAGAGAGAGAGAGAGAGAGAGAGAGAGAGAGAGAGAGAGAGAGAGAGACTTCTGCTCAGAGAAAATTGACGCGTAGAGGTATATTTGCGTTAGGTGGCACGTGCGCATGTAGCGTAGCCATACACGATGAACTCGCGAGAGTTTCTGCGTCAGCCGTCTTGGAATAGCGAGTGATGTCAAGCTCGCTGCCTCGGTTAGGTTCGTTCGTATACTAATACGCACACTAACGCGATAGGGTGTTTGCTTATTAACCGAGAAAATTCAATTTCCCATTTGGATCGTGGTCGCAAAATCAACTTTAAAACGTTCTTCTCGCGGTTATCTTCGATGCGTATAATCGACAAAAAGATGACGGAACCGAGAGAAAGAGGGGGGGCGTTCACACCGATCGATAGAATTACGTTACCGGACATTTTCACCTTTACCGACCAATTTACCAAGCATCTGATATCTCTTCTTACTCTGCCCTTTGACTTTTCGTCAAAATTTTAACAACCTAATTTCAAACATCGTCACGAGCAAGAATTACCTCTTACCTCGATAGACAGCCCGATTTCCGTCACCACGGTCTACTGCGAACAACGACGTAACACAAGTGACGTGTCCAATAAACGCGTGAAACGATAAACATATTGTTCCGAGTATGAATATGAACGGCAATTTCGCATCTTTGTTCCTTCCTGAGCAAATACGTAGGATCGAAAAAATGCTCGTGGAGAAATCACCGATGTCACACAGAACAAGCAAGACGAGTCACCCGACCGATCGAGGGATCGGGGGGAACATACTACGAAAAGGTAGAAGAGGGCTTGTCGTCGGCCTTGGCGAAAAGAGTAGGCCTCGTCGGCAGACAGTTCGAGTTGTTCGATGACCGAGAAAGAGTAGGGGAAAAGAGCGAGAAAGAGAGTTCACGGTCCCCCACTACGAGCAAACGCCTACCTTCCGCTAAAATTGCCGATTAACGTTATTCTCGCTACTGGTCGTGCGATTATGCGGTGAATGATCGTATGTAAAAGGAGCACGTAACGTCGCAACTGCCCATTTTCTACAAATTTCTACGGTCCTTCGCGTTAAAACCAGGCAACGATGATAAACAAGTATTTATCAATGTTACACCAGGGAACAAACAAAAGTACGTTTCTTTTTTTGTCCATGATCATCGCTTTCCAACGTACAAGTTTGACCGTACACAACTTGTCGTTCTATGGATGTAAATATAAATGTAAATGGTAAATTGACAAGCGTAACGTTCGATGGCATACTACTCTGCGAAAAATGGACTATGAATCGCGCGCGTCATGCCGGTCAATAATGAAACGCTACGAAAGAGGGAGTTAACTCGTGTATCGACTAACGCACGGAAACCAAAATTGAATCATAATATCGATAAACTATTACTACTACTGTTACTACATACACGGATCTAGATGTTTATCAGCTACAATGTTGTGTAAAAGCAATATCGAAAGCACGATAATCGCTTCACTTGTCAAAGGGCGTGTGCTTTCGATGCACTGCCATCGTATACGCTTCTGCGAATATGTTAGACGCGTGCTGTGCTTTAACACGATTTCAAGCGTAAGCAGGCCGGATATCGTGCGCGAGAGGACAAGCAAAACTACTACGCAACGTATCTCCGATTTCTCCGTACCATATAAGGGGTCAAATATTGCATAGAAAAAATCAGTTGGTGTAACATCGATCAAACGCTAAAATGCGATTAGCTGTCATGTCGTGAAAAACTGGTACACGCGACCAACGCGACCAATGACGCATTCGCGACTTTAACCGGCATAAAAGAGAAGACGGTGAACATTTCTTCGATTCTTTTCAAACGGAAACGTAATTTCATCGCCGACTACATAACTAAGATGGCGGCAATCATCTTGTTCGTTTAGGGCTGTCGCGTCGCGTGCGTCGCATAGTTGCGAGCGGCAAATGACTATCTTCAGATTGCCTGCTATCATACCGCAATCCAACCAACTTCGCCAAAATGATAATTCGTTTGACGATCGGTATAAAGCGCAGATTACGTCTGGATACCGATGTCGAATAATTTCAACAACAAAAATACAACGAAACGAATAAGTTATAGGTTATTTCGAGCAATTTGGGAAAAGGATCGGTGAACTGCATGGCTACGGGGTTCACACGACCCGCAATCGACTACACCTCCCAGTATTTGCGACCAATATTTTACAAGACATTGCGTTCAATGGCCTCTATCTCACTTTCGCATTCGCATACTATTACGTTGAAAAAATAACTCACCTTTGGCGTGTTATAAACGGCCTAGAAATTCGAGGCTTCGGCGTATTCAACGGCTCCCGTCCACTACGATCTCACAGAGTGCACTGGCGCAACGAGCGGAAGCCGCCATCTTGAACTGCGTTCACTTGACGCTTTCCGCTTATTCGAAAAATACTCCTCCATTCCCGCCAATTCTCAAATCTATTCATCTTCAATTTTCTTACTTTCAAAAAATCACTTGTTTTTTCATTTTTAAAATATCCTAGTATTTATGTCTTTCACTCTTCGATAATAATAATGTGTATATACAGTATACAGAGGGCAGTATATATTAACATAATGTTAACAGATAGAAAACAACTTAACATTCACCACCGTGCTTTACTTATATTTCAAATCAAACACTCGAGACCGTTATTTAAATCGATTCAAATATTAGTCCACCTTTTATCGTTGCTTGTATAAAAGAATCGTTCAAAATCTAAAGGATACTATACATTCTGTCGGGATATCTGTCTCCTCTCTCTCTATTCGCCATTTTCCCCAGGTATGCATATACATATATATATGTACTACATAAGTAAAGAGTACGTTGCATCTGCTGTAGGACATGTCGCGTAGTTGATAGCTTGTAGCTAGTTGACTTGTACCTTTCTGTAATTCGTAAAATATTTTTGCAAAAAGATGCCCAAATCTAAAAGAGATAAAAAAAGTAACGTTGTAACATGTAATCTGTAGTTTTTTAAATTCATTCTTTACGTTAAAAATGTAGAATTTTTAAACTAACCTTAAAAATGTTTCACGTGTTCTCATGTAGTAACCAAATTTATATTTCACAGTATCTCTTACTAAAACAAGTAAGAAGGGCCTTGTTCTGAAACAACAAATAGTGGAAGATGTTAGAAATTGCGTCGAAAAATACAGCAGGATATTTCTTCTATCCGTTCACAATATGCGCAACAATAAACTTAAATATTTGCGAGCGGAATGGAAAGACAGTCGATTTTTCTTCGGTAAAAACAAGGTGATAGCGTTCGCTCTAGGCAAATCATCGGAAAACGAAATTACAGAAGGTCTTCACAATCTATCAATGACGTTAAGGGGACAATGTGGTCTACTATTTACAAATAGAAGTAAGAAAAAAGTATGTAGCCCTTTATTAATGTAACTAGTTAATTATAGAAACTCGTGTTATTTGTATTTGTTTGTCCTTTGTTTAGGTTTTGAAATGGATGGAAGAGTATGAAGAAATAGATTATGCTAGGTCTGGTTTTGTTGCACAAGAAACTATAATTCTACCTGAAGGACCCATGTCAGATTTTTCGCATAGTATAGAACCTCATTTGAGGCAGTTGGGAATGCCTACTGCTTTACAAAAGGGTGTAGTAACTTTACTTAAAGAATACACAGTGTGTAAAGAAGGGCAAGCATTAACTCCGGAACAAGCAAGGATTTTGGTAACTATTCTGTTTTACATTTCATTTTATGCATAACAGGTAGCAAACATAACAATTAACTTCTGTTACAGAAATTACTTGATAAACCATTGTCTACATTTAAATTAGTACCATTAGGTGTATTTTCTAAGAAACATGGATATAAACAACTTGCATCTCAAGATAATGATAAAGAGAGTATAGGAGAACAAATGGAAATAGAGGAAACAGAAGAAGCTGATAGTACATGAAGTGTGTACTTCTGTATTGCAAAAATATGCATAAATTTATATATGTATATATCATTTTCACATTGTGTACAAAGTTCAAGTTATTTCTTATAAATTTTTATAATATCAAAATTACGAAATATTTTTTTTTCTATCATGGCTTCCTTTGAATCCTTATGTTGAAACGACGGCAGCACTACCTTTATGCTTTTCTATATTTTGGATTATTGGAGTTATATGGGTAATTCTATATCCTATAATAATCTATAGTATATGCTTCCATTAAACATCTAAATTGTGTGGGAAATGTATTTATAATTTTCCAATATTTTTACGATGTAATTTTAAATTGTTATAATTATGTATGTAGACCATGTATTATTGGTATTACGAAAATTCACGTAATAATAATTCTGAAGTAATACTTGACGTCAACTCTAATAAAAGAGGTAGTGCGATGTCTACCAATACTTTAAAACGTAACAGAAAAAGAGTAAAATATGAAGTGCATATGTATAAGTGAATTGAAACGTTAAAATAAAAAAACAAGATTTAATGGTATTCTTAAGAAAAACAAATTCATCGCAGACTAAAACGCGTCAGCCAAGCAGAAATTCGATAAATGCAATTATAACGACATGCAAGAAAGTGTGCAGTTCAGAATAAGTTAAACATTGACTGTCTGAAAATAATGTAGTTGTGTAATTTTTTGAATTTTTTGATATAACAACTTTTCGTTACTTTGTTGTTTATTTGTTTTGAAAGCTACAAGATATTACTACAGCTGGGTCCTTGGTCGTACAATGCTAGACAATACCGAACGAAGTATATGGGAACTCGAAAATTATGACGTACGGGAAACATCATAGAACGTGCGACACAGGCTTATCTAAATTCTATAACTTATTTAATACAATTAAAGATATCAAAGTTAGATGTAACAATAAAAACAGGAAAATGTGAGAAACATAGAGATGTACATTGAGAATTCGTGTTATAAAACACTAAGAGATATCGATGAAACCAACGAATAGAAATATTCTATAAAAATTTATTCGTTACGTAGAAACATGCTCTTATAAAGTCGTATTTATTTTATAAACATCTGTATTTAATCAAGGAATACTTATATTGATTACAGGAAAAAAGCATTCGAGATCTTATTTTGCGATTAAATTATTGCTAGGGAATGTTTTCAATGGTTAATAATGTCTATCCTCAGAACACAAACTCAAACGTAACTTCCACCTTGTTACCATCAAATTTTTGTTAGCATGTAATGTGTTCGAAGTATCACTTGGATAAAACATTTTAAATTATTATTTAAAAAACCTATAAATAAAACTATAAATAAATGTATGTTTATTTGTACTAAAAATAACGAGCTTAACATAAGCAATAAAGTAATACCAAAAATTGAACATTTGATTACTTACAAATATACCATAATTACAGGAATAATAATAACATAATAATAATGATGATGATGATGATGGATGATGATGATGATGATGATGATGATGATAATAATAATAATAATAATAATAATAATAATAATAATAACAGTACTAATAATAATAATATACATGAAGAAAATAGTATTGTCATCTCTCCTAGTGCTTCCTTCGTACATTCCTTTGCTTCATTTCTTTAGAGAAACTGTTCACAATTAATCAGAACATGTTGTGTTAAGTAAAATGTGTTTAGAATACAATACTGTACCGCCATGTAATTTGCATTTAGTATTATCGGCATCTGATTGGTGTTAGGTGTCGATGTTTCTCACTATGCTGTTCCAAATAAAAAAAAAGCTCTTATATCCTATTCTTAATAATACACATTTCGAATATGAAACATTAATATTCGAAACTCAAAATATTTTCAGTTCTATTTTCTTTGGTGGAACATAATTGTACCTTCGCAGGTTAAAGAATATTAAAAAGAATGGCATCATTCTTCATATTATCGTGTATAGTTTCGTAACAAAAACAAAAACAAAAAAAGAACGTCAATCTACTCAACTTTACTACCTCGTACCTTTAGATCTTGCATTCCGAAAGACACAGGCATAGAGCATTTATCGAAAAATGACCATTCAGGGACACGTTTACGTCACAAAATGAGACTCGTACACTGCTTCAAATAAGAATACATAATGCGGTGCAGGAAACTAGAAGCATTCTTCATCGCTCGAGAGAACTACGAATTCGCCGTCTTTGTACACTGTTATCGTCCTGACCTTGTTAGTAATTTGTTCGAAATATCACAATACACAAATGGTTACATTCTAGGATATGGCAATCTCACAGCACGCTAAATTCAACGGAAATCTCGTATAAAAATAAATAAAGATTTCTTTTAACAAAACGTTCGATAAAAATATCAGCTAAAGTAGTAGATATTTAAATTATAATACAATAGATTAGACTTTCGTGTGCTAGAGCAGTTGCGACTAAACGATTCTTACAGTAGGGATTTTTCAACAAAGTGGAACGTAATGTTTCGAGAAAGCAATGCTAAAGTACGTCTACTGAGTTATACTGGTTGATGCTAATAAACGAAACCCTCTAGCACGTCGAATTTTTTGTAAACGCATCAATGAATTACTTTATACGTAAGTTCATCACTGTATTACAATTACTTATTAGTATCGTAAATATTTGAAACCATCGAACGGCAACATAATATATCTAATGGAAAGATCTACGCATTATCTTAAGCACAGCACATAAGCGATTCACTTTGAGCTCTTCTCGAAGCGTGTAATGGTACGATGAGCCTTTTACTTATTTAAGAGACGCGCATCGTGCTCTCTGACTGATGTGAGAATTTCGTACAGAATTTCATGTTTCAAGCCAATTTAATCGTCAACGATAACTAATAACATTGCCCTACTATTCTAACGGAAGTGGAATGTGTTTCAATTCAATTGTAAAAAACCAATTATTATTCTTACATGAATCGTTTGGAGTCGTTTTCTGATTGACAACGAAAACACGATTTTTAAGCCTATGGCCACGAGACGCAAACGTACGTATGTATATACTTAAAAGTCGCACCAGTCGAGAACACCTACGTCTGACTATGTCTCATAACACGTGGAGTATAAAAGGTGACTAATAAAATCGATGGTTATTGAAATACGAACAAAGTATATCCATTTTCTCTTCAGGGTAAAAATATTAAAACATCTCGCTTAGGTGATTTGCCTTTGGGCGTAAAGTTCTTCGAGAGATGGTACTTCCGGTATTGGATCCCGCCAATACGCGAAATTACTAAATTCGTCCGCAGCATCCTCTCGCCAGGCTGGGAAAAGATGATCGACTATAAAGCTCATGTTTGAGTATCTGAAAAAATAACAAATCGATTGAATGCATTCAGTTTACTGTAATATTACTAACAGAAATTGAAGGACACAGAATCTGAGGGTTAAACGTCCAATACACAGCATCGTTACACAGAATGATGCATGTGTATCGCGTTATTGTATATAATGAACGAAATTCTGGTGAAACAATTCCATTTTGTTGTGGCCCTAATAATGATTACATCTTAACATGGATAAAATAAAGAGGTGGTACGGTGTTTAGGTGGCGATAGCTAACTTGTGCTCTCGGTTAAAGAAAAGCGTAATGGGATTACTATGTCGCATGAGTGAAGATTCTTCTATGCAAGAACTTTCATGCAAACAATTTCACGATTTAGTTTCTCAAACAGTTGTGTGGCAAAATTCAATAACGTGGCAGCAATTCTCCTCTTCTTTTAATCATTGATTTTGTGGTTAATGAAAATGCGCAATATATCAAAAGTGGACGTAACTTTTCTACGCACTGCTGCGTTACGTTTCTATGTTCGAAGTACTTGGTTGAACATTCGTGCACAAAAAAAAAGGACAAAAATCATTGTACTATACTGTAAATATACATCGATAGCACAGTTGGAATTCTCATTTCGTAAAAGTTGAACACTCATGAAATGAACGATTTTAGAGAAAGTTATTTGACTTGGTAATAATTTGATTTCATCTGCATAACACTTAATACGATAAGCCTACGTGTTAGGATCGTTGAAGATGAATAAAGTAATGAAAATGGAAATGATAAAAAGCAATTGTGTAATAACGAGTGCTTACCCTATAAGAATCATAAGAAGATAGGTAGAAGTTGTTGCACAACCAAATACCTCAAAGCATACTAATGATGTCAAACTAGGGAAATTAATTGAACTTCTATTTAACCTTTGGGAAAAAAAATAAATAAAAAAGTAAGAAAATAGGAAATTGCCATTGGAAAATCTAACTGCGTATGTACTAATTTTTCTTTAAAAATTTCTTGTATGCATTATTTTATGGAAAATCTGTAGATATACTGCATTGCATATAAAATATATATATATGTATATATCTTCAGTAAGTGCACTATTAATCACAATATGGAATAGCTAGGAAACAGCGAATATCACTAAGTTTGTACACGTATGGAGCAATATTGCAGAAGTTGTAATTCTATACACATTAAATAAAATCCAGTACCAATGGCACAATTATAATGTTCTGCAAAGACTGTTACCGAAACATTATCAATTGGATTAATAGAATAAAACAGCTATGGTTGTGTCGCCATCAGTTGATGTTTCGCATGGGTAGTGGCGGGAACAACTCATTGACGATATTGCACTGACATGCGTAACTGCAATCACAGAAATATCCGACCTATCAGTACTTTTTTCTGAATAATTAATTTTCCTTTTTGTGCAAAATCCCTCACGCTTCACCTAATCGAATCGCTATGTATATACATATCCTCGTACATATTAAAAACCTAGTGTTCGTTCGTTTAAGAACACCTTACTGCACATACACTGTTCCTAAATGTCATGTATAAACAAGCAAAAAATTGCAATCTATCTTTGAAATAAGATATTCAAATTAATTTGTAATTTTGTATAAAAAAAAATTAACTAAATGTTAACGCGTTTGTAAACAGATTAAAATAGCTATATACTATAACTGACAACAATGTTTGCGTGCTTATTTAACTATTAGTGTGCTGAAAAAAAAAAAAAAAAATACGCGTTGGTAGAAATAGTGTGCGAATATGTATGGTTACTTACGAGGATTGGAATGTCTGCGTCAATTCATGTTTTAGTTCACCTCTGTGATTTATAGTAAATATACGCATAGTAGGAATTCCTACAGCTCGGTACGCCCAAACATCCTAAAAAAGAAAAAACGAAAAAAAATAATGGAAAGAAAGGTGGTTCGGGAATAAAAATACAGAAATTACTTGAATATTTCCTAATATTTAGATTGGGTATTTTGAACGATTAGAATAAGAATATTTACGTTAATTCGGTTCCCGTATCCAGCGTAAAATGGTTTAGAACCTTCCGGGAATAAGGCTTGAATGTCACTAAGACAGGATATTTTAAATTCTTCAGGTTTCTTCTCTATGACTTCGCGGTGGAATGCTGAAATTAAGCTGGTTGGATTTAGAAGCAACGGTCCATCGGGAAGCGACAAATCTCCTTGCCTGATACTCTTCAGGTACTCTCTCGTAACTTTAGCTTGTCCGATCGCTCTTGCAGAAAGATAGAGCAATTTATAGCCATTATTTTTAATCTTTGTAAATAATTGAGCAACACCGGATTGAGCCCAATCTTTGCCAACGATCGGTAAAATGTGGCCCAATACGTCAGATTTCGTAATGGTTCCGTCTATATCGGAGATAACAATTTTGTCATCCCATCTCCATTTGTAAATATGGCATTTACAACGAGTCGTGCCTTGATAAGCGGTAGTTACACTGAAAACAACTTCATTAGCTCCGTCTTTTAGGTCAAGACTTGCCTGTAACAAAACAACAAATTCAAAATAAAGTTTAGTCACGTGTATATTAAAATAGTTGAATTTTACGATTGTACGTACTATTTGTGCAGATGATAATCTCAAAGTTTTACGGTATTTCTCAGTAGATTCGTAATACGACCTTCTTTCTTTCGGTATTTTAACTCCTTGCGATTCATTTTGATTACTATCGGAATCTTCGCTACCACTGTAACCTTCACCCTCTCTTTCGCGATTTTTCTCAATCTTGATGTCTTTTGTTAATTTTGTACATTGTTCTACTGTTTCCGACACATCTGTAGACTCTACGTTCTGGTCAGTCTTTGATTCCTCCCTGTGTGACATTAAGTCAATCGGAGTACCTTCTTTCGTCTCCATCAACTGTTCCGAAGATTGTACAGCAGGTCCATCGGCTATAATACATAAGATGACGATACACGGACTTAAATAAATACATAAAAAATATAAGGAATAAAGTCGAGACTGAACCCGCCTTACTTTGACTAAGTTCTTGAGACTTTTTAGGTGGTTGTGTAGAACGTCGCCATGAGAACCATGAACTGTATCCACCACGGTTGCCAGGCTTGTCGCTACTATCCTGCTTTTTTTCTTCGTGCATTGGTAACGGCATACATTGCGCGTACAAATTTTCGATCGTATTTTCCGGTAAATGTCTTTGGAATACAGCGTATGTCATTACAATAGGGCAAGCGGTAGCCCAATTATAGAATTTCCCATTAATTTTTACAACTAAATTCGGATTTTCATATAATTTCGGATCTGAACAAATATCTTCGAAATGAAGCAAGTTTTGATGGAAAGCTTCTTTGGCTGGGCCTGCTTCGGAATCTAAACCACCGCATAAGGATAAGCTAATGCTCATGGTGTGGTCAAATATAGAATGTTTCGGATCTTCAAAATAGCTATCCAGTGACTTTGGATCGTCAATAGCTCCTTCGATGCTATTTGGACTTTGCGGTAAACTTGGTCCATTACCTGATTCACTATCTTCTTCATCTACTCCTTTCTCATCTACAATGATTACAATATTATAGAATGACGCGTTTTACATACGTAAGTAAGTAGGAACACCGTTGTCACATAACAAAACAAGTTGTCTTACCTTTACCCGATGTTGGACCTCTGTGAGAAGAAGGAAAATAGAGAGCCGCGACTTCCGGAGCCAGTTCGTCTGCGTTAATATCACTAAGATAAATTCCTTCGGATTCTGGATTATGTCTGACACGAGAAGTTTTCTTCATAAACGAGAACATACCACTGAGCATAGATCTGTGTGCTTCGGCTATTATTGAAACAATAGTTAATATACCGTTAGTCTAATCATTTGAACGTTTATCAATATTTCCATATATGCTTTCTTCACTTCTACTAACTGTTGTTCGGTTGATTAACGGCGCCTGGCGAATTCAATGAATTTCTGTGAGGAGCATGCGTTGATTCCGGAGGTAAACTTGGCAATTCACCCCATCTCCAACTTTGCTGATGATTTTTATCTTCCTCTCGTTCTGCACCTTCTTGCGTTATTTTACGCATTTCAAATTCTGTGTCAGACTGAACAGGTGAACATGGCCTAGAATCCTGATTCCTATTAAATACGATAATAGTAAACAAGTGCAAACATTAATTTGATATACATCTGAACAAGTATCATACATGTACCTTTCACATTTATACAATATCCATGTGTAAACCTAACTCTTAAACACATCGATGTACAAATTTTCTAAATGTATTTGCAGCGGCATACTTACTTTGTAACTTCCGTATCGCTGAAGAAATGGAAATCCGTTTCAGGACGTTTCTCGGTTGTCTCCTGCATTGAGATTACAGGTTCGACAGAAGCATTTTTTTTCTCTAGCTCTGCAACCGGGCTTGATTCTTTTAACACAGACTCGCTGAGGGATTCGTCTGGAATAGGTACATCATTTTCGCTCACTTCTGTTTGGCTACTACTGCCGTTGCTGGTCTTCCTTTGAGATCCCTTCTTCTTCATAATACTTTTCCTCTTTCGTTTCCTTTTCGTTGAATTATTATTAGTTTTACTCTCTTCGACGGTTTCGTCTTTTGAATTCTTTTTGCTTAACGACACGAGTGATTCGTCGCTTGACTTTTCCTTGCCACTACTCTGGACATCTTCCGTAATCGGTCTAAAGTCATTTTTCACTACGCTAATTTTGCGAATTCTGTCAGTCGAAGTTACGGCTACGAAAGATTTGACAGTTGGTGCAGCTAGACATGTTTCATCTTCGTTAATATCCATATCGAAGATTTCCTCCTTCCAATCACTTAGCAAGGTTTTAGGGAAATTTTCTTTAAACAAATGTTCCCTGCTATTACTAAAATTCTCCTTGAACATTTCTTCTCTCTCCTCAGGGGTTAAGGAAGCAATTTGAAGCCATTTCTCACGGTGCTCTATTGGAAGGTCAGAGAATTGTTCAATTAAAAATTTTTCCCTTTGATCCGGTGGCAATGCAAACATTTGCTCCAATTTCTCTCTTTCAATGGATAAAATAGACGCTATAAGAATCTTGTCCCTTTGGTCTGGAGGAAGGTCAGCAAGAATATCGAATCTAGAGGATGGGAAACAGTTGTCCTCCGGAATAGGGGAACAAGCCAAATGGGGTGGAATTTCTGTGTCTGCTGGAGATCCATCAGAGCTAACTTCTTCAACGAAAAAGGCTTCTCCAGAATCTCCTAACTTCATATGGATTTGCCTAGGTTCTCCGTTTATTTCAATGTCCACCTGTAAAGAAAAGTTAAAAGATCATTTCATCGTACCATCAGGAGAAATAAAAATTGTGAAATCTACATTCACAAAGAGAAAACTGCTGGATAGTATAAAACATTAAAAAGAAGAAGATTTTAAATACTACAGCACAAAGTATACATTAGAAAAAATAATGGAATATCTGGGATTATTGGGATAATGGAAATTTATACAGAAATTTCTATAAAATTTCCTTGAGAAAACGTGGAAACACTTACTACTTTTTCTCTAGAACGAAGTACGCCGAGTTTTCCAAAACGGACATGAAAGGGTGAGCAAGTGAACGATCCATCCGGTTGTTCGACGACGATGACGTCGATAGCACCGGTGAGCGTCGCCGCGTTGATCTCATTGTAGAAAACGCGAAAGTTACTTATGAACTTCCCAATGTAGTTCATACTGTACATCTTAAATGAACGTATCGTCGATCTACTCTCAAAATGTATTTCCAATTGAACGTTTCACCGTGTTATAGCGCGGTGCTTGTCGTAACGAAATATATACTTGAAAGTTGCCTCGACAACGAAGGGACGTATCTGCTTAAAGGTCTTTCGAGATGAAAGACACAGAGTCCAGATACATCGAATTCGAAAATTTCCTTAACCACATCACGACAACATTCATTAAATTCCAAAAATTCGACGACACTCGTTAAAAGGGGGACGAAAAAAGTCCAATTGAACTCCGTTCGAACCGAATTTCAACGACTCTACGATACAAACGTCACTGTTTCGAAACGTTGGAGAACTGTCAGGGATTCGAAGCCGGGCAAATACCCCGAGCGTGGATCCACGTAGATAAATTTATTGCGCAGATTGCGCATCGAAATTCACGTTTAATCAGTTGAACACGTTGAAAATTGCAAGAATCTCGGACACGTTCGACAGAACAGACTCTCGTCGTGACTTGACGAGAAACGCGAATCCTTTGTTCTCGGATGGTTTGCTAAGAAATTCGCCCGTCTATTAGAGCAGACGGTAGCCCAAGTTGACGTTAGAATAGGTCACGTGCCCCGCCTCAGCCAATCCGTGCTACGATACACGCACCGATCAATAAGACCCGACACCACGTGACTGGAATCGGCGTGTACCGCGTCCTTTGAATCCTCCTGGATCTGTAACAACAACAACAACAACAACAACAACACAAGAAACGATAAATAAAGACAGTCCGACTAATCTTACGATACTAACGATCTTTTAAGTGTCACTACGATCTGGTAACACAAGCAACAATGCCGACAATTAACATAGAAAACACACGTTTTCAAGAGTTTCGTTAATCATACACGAGGAGATTAAGGCTTGAAAACATACAAATACAGTTTGTATACTAACATACGCTACCAAAGTCACATACACATGCGTCATAGTGTGCGTATTTAGTAGAAATTACACACGCATAAAGTGCAGGCATGAATTGCATTACGCGAAGCTGAGGTAAATCAAGTAGATACGAAGAATGTATGCGACAATGGTTAACGAACGTGTTAAATTTCGACAAGATGCACATATCGCGCATTAGGAATTAAAGCACGGTGCGTGTGAAATCGTTCAAGTGCAGGATGGAAGAGAAAAGTTTATGTAACATTATAAGCGTTTGTACGTTTGGCGCAACGGGCCGAAGGTAACGACGTGAAACTTTTCCAACGCGTTTGTATCACACGTTACCTCTGAAAAATTGGTCGTTGAACCTTTATTACGTTTCTGGTAAAATTCCACCGAAGCGACACGTGCAAGTATCTCGAACGTTGTACTTTGTTCTACGAATACGAAATACAACTATGACAATGTTTTGCAACAAAGTTAGTATCGTTGTTCGGCAACACTGACTAATATGTTATTTTGCGTAAGATTGTTAGGTAAGATTGCAATATCTTTTAAACGCCGCCGTTAGGTCACAGTCAACGCGGAACAATCGAACGCGAGTTTAAAGAGATTGGCGCGACGTTTGACAGCACACGCGAGCACCGCGTGCAACCTTCTTGGAACTTTTCAGTTCAACTGAACGACGAGATTAATATACGCGAAATCTTTTAGTCGATATCTTTGAATCGTTCGATCGATGGCTATTTACTGCATTTTTCTTTTACCGCTCCCTTTCTTCTTCTTCATTCGCGAGCACTAAACTGTTGGTAAATATTTCTTTAATGAAGTTACAAGGTTTAATAGGAAAACCTTGTTGTAGTTTAATCGCGAGAAACTGACACGATAATCGTCTGTTCGAATTTTCAAGACAAAGGTATCGCGCACGGGACGATTCGACCTTGCGTAACTAAACGACCCGCCTTCTCTCCTCTTGCTCCTCCTTCTTCCCCTTCCTCGTCGCCCCTCGTAAAACCTTCGTTGAACGGTCAACACTGACCGTTGGATGAATTTTAAGAAATTCAATAGTCCACATAATACACTTCCGAAACTGTTTGGAATTTTCCTGCCTCGTGTTTGTCAATGGTAAACCTAACGTTAATATGAAAAATTCGTATCTTCCGAATAAAATTAACCAACACTTAGGAGAAATCATTCTTCGTTGCTATACTTTCGCTATTTCGATATCAATCGGAAAATATGTATAAAGGAACGGATGGCAAGATAAGGTTGAACGCGAGTGTTCAACGAAAAAGTCGATTACTACGAAATACATAGAGGGGGAAGCAGCTGTTTCCGGTTAGAAACAGCGTCCCTTACTCTGCCAATCGTTCTAACGGACGTAATTTCCTCGAATGCCCACGTTGCGCCGTTGAGTTTGGCTGTCAAGAATCACGACGATTCGATGTAAGTTAAACGTCGTCCGCTACGTCACATGCATACATAGACGAGTTCCTTGGCATTCGGCGACTCGCCAAAATCGAGAGAAGCTCGAGCAGAATTAGAACATGCCTCAAAACTTTTCTTACTTCCAATTCCCCGATCAATATCCTATCCGGCAGTCCAATCTCTCTCTCTCTCTCTCTCTCTCAAGTTTCTAGCCATGCACGTTACTTTTCCAAACGAAGGAGAAGAAGAAGGAGAAGGAGAAGGAGAAAGCGAAAGCTTTCGCTTTCACGATCGACTCTGCTTTGGACAAACACGCGTAATCCCTTTCCCCCCGATTTAAGGTAACGAAGCGCGTTTACCCATTATCGACGGCTTGAAGTTTAATTACGCTTCAGCTTAACGGGAGTGGAAAGGCTACTTCTCAACGTACATTGTACACGTGACGTAAAGGCGGCAAACGAAAGTAATCCGTTCGCGAACGCAAGGTGCGTTTCTTTCTTCTTTGGTCTTTCAGTTCTCTCGCAATCGGTGTAGGAGGGATACAACACATCCCTAGCTTTTTGCATTCACGGTTAAATTAACTATTTATGCGTGGATAGTTTTCAACGTTATATTACGTGTATTGCACGCTAGATGGCATAATTGCATACTCTAGGATAATAAGAATAATTTAACAGCTGATTCGTTCACGACATCAAGCCTTTCGATGAATCATTATTGCGATGACGAGCAAATTTAACGGGAAAGTCCAAAGACTTTTGCCTTTCACAGACAACGAGCGTCACCGAATTTTCTTTTTTTCAATTCGAGCGGATTCACGTTAGATTGCGAATTAGTCGCATCGTACGGAAATGTATGTAGTTACCTACACGGCTGACGCGTTGCGATCGATAAACACACGACAAAGAGGTGATGATATCCAAGCGAATCCAATTTTGGTCCACAGGCTCGTCTCTCTATTTCTAGCTTCTCTCGTCGCTATTCTTTCTCCTTCAATGAACTAATAAGAGGAACTAAACCGGCCAACCCCGGCGAGAGATTAATCATTCGAAGAGAAAATATCCGGATTCTCAACGACAGTTGGCCTCTGCCCAGATCAATCCGTTGACCGTGGACTCGACATTGAACTCTGCGCGTCGCGACGCGCGCGAATTCTTCCTACCGCGAAAAACTCATCGATCCAATCGATATTATTAAATGAAAGGAGAAGTGTGCGCCCGCGGTGATTATTCGAGGAACCCGCTTCCAGCCTTGAGCTTTGATCGCTCGAGCAATTTCGACGAAAATACGCAAGATCGTGCAAATGAAAAGGCGGATGAGAAATCCGCGAGAATCAGTGCCAATACCGAACGAAGATAGGCAACTGAATTGCGCAACCGCCTTTCATCCTTCCCCTACTCTATTCCGGAAACGAATCTCTGTTAGTTGGTGTTCGAGATGGAAAACAGGTTCAAGCATACGATTATCACGCAACTTCGCCGCTGAATCACGCGTCTCAACCTTCGGTGAGACTGCGCGTGTACAGGCTATTGCGTTCCCATTCATAAAGAGTTGGTAGCGTCGGAGATGACGCGTTGCTCTCACTCACCTATTCGGAATCGCAGTCTACAGTACGGTCCCCTCACGTGCAACGCACGCATACACATATGTACAGAGAGCCACATACGCACATACACAGCCTTTTGATACCAGCAGCACGTTAGAAACGTAGAAAACGTAGTTTGCGAAGATTGTTGGCAGAAAGAAAAGAGGGCCAGCCCTTGTTTAATGCCGATAGTAGAGCCACTTGTCGGAGAATTCCGCAAAAACTGAGAGAGGTCCAACTGGTGAACCGGTTCACGCGACCGTTCGATTCAAACTGAGCCAGCGAGCGACCAATCTCGAGTCTCGATACCCCTGCGCTCACGGTTTATCATGTCCACCCGAGATCGTTCGGTGAAATGTACGCGTAAATCGACGCGTAAACGCCAGCCCAACGGACGGAGAAGCACGCATGTTTCGTTAGAGGAAAATCTTCCGATTGGTCGTGAATAGTCGGACCAGTAGTCGAGCCTTTTTTGCCTTCTTAAGTGAATGGGAGGAAGTGAAACGCGTCGTCGTTTTCGTTTTCGTTGTCGTCGTCGTCGTCGTCTTCGGATCGTTGACCCAGATTGCTCAACACGTCTCTACTCTTGCCGCGTGATATAACTATATGTTCAGAGAAAAACATCTTCCTTCAGGGTGATCAACACATTTATTGTACTTTTGTTAAAACTTGGCTTCTATTTTTCACCCTGCAGCGATTAGATGCATAATGCCTTTCAAACAGTCAGCTTTGATTGTCTAGCTTTGAAAAATGGCGGGCAAAGTACGATGAGCACAGCTGATTAACGAAGTAAAAAAATACGTACAGTCGGCCGCATAAGTGTTTGTCCACCTACCGCACTCACTGTATGCGTAGGTAAAAGTAGGAAAATATGCAGATAAAATTTGAAAACAAAAATGCAGAAATGAAGCTTAATTTATACAAAATTTTCCAAAATTTTACAATATATTCTCGTTGAGAAAGTGATGTTTCACGTCTCTTACAATTCATTATTATTATGACTACGATATTTTCTTTCTGGATGTCTGAGATCAACTGTTGCCGATTGCAGAAGTTTAACAAAACATAGTCGATCACAAAACATTCAGTTGTTTTAAAGTTTAGTTCGTTACTAAGCGTCTTATTTAATATAAATATTCGTGGACGAACACTTTTGCGTTCGAGTTTCCCGTCACATTATGATACATCGTTTAATTTTTCATTATGTATAACAGTTATGAATCCCGCAAAATGTCATCTTATTTTGTATAAATTAAGCTTCATTTCTGCATTTTTTTTTCAAATTTCATCTGCATATTTTCCTACTTTTACCTACGCATACACTGTAGGTGGACGAACACTTATGCGGCCGACTGTAGATGTAATAGTTAACGAGCTTACGTTCCGGTCGATTAACGATACGAAGGCGTGAAATAGCAGTGCGCAGAGATTGAAAATGTTGCGTTTGTCGGTTATTAAGCGGAGGAAGCTGTCCGCTTGATAGATACTATACGCTTTACCGTTTTGTTATTGTAAATAGCGTGGCTGTTGTTGATCGTGTGCATTCTCAAGTGGCTAGTTGGCGCTCAATCTACGACGCATTTGTCTGCAAAACATGAAAACAAGTGGAACCGTGACACGAACCAAAAATTTATTACATCGTACTAACGACATCACACGTGTTCTCTCTCTACTCCCCCTTTCCCTCCTTTTCCATGCAGACGCACAAACACACTGATACTGTATCCCGCAATCGCTTGTTTTTCATATCGTAACGAGCGACGAACAAACGAACAGCAGGAAAACAGGATTGATCATGTGCTTACGTAATCTACATAGAACGTCCTTTCTTGGCATTTTTTTTATACCTAGAGTTTCGACGGGGTACTGTGCGAAGAGTTTGTAGAATCACAATAACGAGGTGAAGGGATTAAATCGAGGAAAAGGTAACGGTGTTTCGATCTTTTATTCTTCATTGAAATGCAAACAGCCTCCAGCTTCTTCTTTCACGTCGATTATTCGGACGTTTGTTTTTATCTTCGTACTCCCTGCAGGTGAAGCAAAGGTAAAAGAGCAACGTGCGTTTGACTAAATGCAATCGGTCAAAGAAGTGGCGACGTATAATAAATGTACGCGACGTGTATGTAAATGTTGCTCGGTCTCCACGAGGGCACCACTTAACAAACTCGACTACTGGCGTAAATACGTCGATAATATCGACGCATCGTTGTACGCAACGAGATACGTATGTATTCGACTCGGTTCGAGTCCACGCTATTCATCGATACATCGTTTTCTTCTTCGAGTTCGACCGATAACGATTATTTCCTCGAAATACGTTTCTCGCCGATAAACATGTTAATTGAGCTTACGACGTATTTCGAACGTACGATGCATTTCGTCGTCGAAAATCGAAGTGCAGTCAAAGTGGCGACAAAACTTGTAAAACTTATTGCGCTTATCTGTGAAGAAAAGCTTTGTGATTTTTTCTACCGTAATATACATATGTAAATAAATAAAGTAAATTTGGAAAAGCAACAAGAAGCGGACGAATATTGAAATGCAAGGAACATATTTTCTTGTCTGCACAACGTTTATCTGCTGCGTCGTGGCAATTGTCTTTGTAGATTTGACCGAACAAGAAATAGTGGAGAAAGAAGCGGAGAAGGAATATGCGTTTCGAATGGATTTGACCGGATGGATCGATAAACTGTTACCTTACGTATCGAAATTTATCGTTGACAATAAAATGGATCCGTTACCTATTCGGGACGTTCGTCGAAGCTTCTGGATCGAAGGTGTACGTACATATCTATGTATTTCTACTCGTAGCTAAGGTATTCGATTATTTTCTAATCAAAGGAGAATGGTCGAACCTTCCTCTCCGAATGAACATTTGCATTTCGTCCGATCGTTTCTCGACTCGAAAGAAATGGAAAGTACAGTTCTGGACGAATTCACCGTGGCATTGAACTTGACGAAAATAGGACAACATCGTAAAAAGTGGAAAGTGGAGGATCATTAGGAATGATTTCTTTTCCCGCTCGTTCCTCGAGGCAACGAACGCCGCGCCGTTGATTTTGAACTTGAACGAACGCGAAAAAAAGCTGCCAGGGACCTTGAGCTCCGTCTCTCTTCCAACACACTGCTCCCGATCGAGTAGCATCGAGAAACATCTGTTCAGATGTCTATAAAGTAGCAACCGATAATGTTGTATTTTTAGCAAAACAAGTGAAAAAGATGGAACGATAAACGGTCGTTATCGCTGGCTAACATACATTATAACGTAATTACGTACATTTTTCGAAAAGTGTCGCGAAGGATTTTTTTTTTTCTGTAAAATCGAAGATACGGTTGGCTCGTATCGCCGATTACGTTGCAACGTTTCTAGAATTATCACAAGTGTTTTTTAGTCATTTATCGCCGAGAGTATTAATTAAATAAAGTTTTCCATCACTTCACTTTCTTAGTATGTAAATAGAAAAGGTTCGAGAAAAGGAACATTCGTAATGCACAAATATTCATCTTCTCCTTTCAGCCATTTCTATTCGCGCCAATAGCATACAACACCGAGTTCACGTATACTTTTTCCTCGGGCTCGTTGTACAATCTATCGGAATTGGAGCGTCACAGTGCCGTCATCGTCCTCTACAGAGATAAAACGTTTAGCGTCGATGCGAATATTGCGTTCGACAGCATTTTGGTACTGCAGATGCATACATATACATATATATATATATATATACGTGCGTCCTAGTTTTCTTCGTCGTTGAAAACCTGTCGTTTCACGTTTTCCCAGCTTTCCTACGATTACTTCCTCAAGCTACTGTTTCTACGGCAACGCGGCAAGATAGTCGCGGAAGCTACTTCGATTTGGGCAAACATCGGCATTGACTTTAACATTGTCACCTGCCAGCTCAGTTTAAACAGACTCAAATTGAACAGCATCGAGTACGTAGATTGTAGGAACCCTCCTGTCAACCTAAAGATAAAGACTGAAGATTGCAGCTGATGATTGAACATCGCGTAATTTTTTCAGATCCATCAGAATTTTCTCTGCCGGGAATAATCTGGTGGAAAAATCGGTGATGCCTATCGCGAACGTTCTCGTGTTTTTCCTGAAAGACACGTTGATGGAGAAGATCGAGGAAGAAGCGGTAACTCTTGTTCGGGAGTACCTCGACGGAATGACGGAAAACTTTTGTCCGTACTTGAGCGCTCTCAAGTTATTTAATCGTGATGTAACTGGATGAAGAAGAAAGGGCTCACGTTTTTATGTACAGTTTGCAAATGAATATCCACGTATCTCTGTTGTTATCTTGTTCACGTGTTATCAGACCATCTGTTTCTATAATTTTTATTGCCACGCGCACAGTGATTTCTTGACAACAAGAAACGATAACGTCGATTCCTATCGATAATTGGGTAAGATGCAACCAGATAAGGTAACTACTTTTCAATAAATATAGAGAAAACGGACCAACGGTAGTCAGATTGGTGAGAATTAATCGTTGAACTCGATCGGTGCACTATGGCTGCCAAAATTCAACTTCTCTTTCCGCTTTTCCTCTCTGCCTTGATCGTTGCTGCCCTCGCGAGCCCTCTCGACGATGCGTAAGTTCTTTCCGATCCTTTCTCACTTTATTCTTCTTCTTCCGTCGAATCGTATATTTGTACTCGCGTAATACATAACGTCCCTGGTTCGCACGCCTGAAAATTGCATACTTTCGGGAAACTCAGATCCTTCTCAGGTGTGTATCTTTTCTACGACACAGAGCGAACGACAATGGAGACTGCAACAAGGCATCGGCGAACATTAACAAGCTGTTCGATATCATGTTACCCACACTTAAGGATGTTATCCTGAAGCATAAATTAGATCCTATGAGACTGCAGGATATATCGGAAAATCTGGTACTTATGTCATCCTCCATATACTATGTACATATAATAACTGGCTGCTTGAGAATTTCATTAGCTTACATTCCTTCGCGGTTCTTTCTTTTGTCCTTACAGGAAGGACCAATAATTCATAAGAGAATTCTGAATTTGACCAACGGTTGGTTCCAAGGACTATCAGATGTACAACGGGCGAAAGACGTTATCTTGACTTTCGAAAATAAAGTCCTGACTGTGGATGCTACTATAGGATTCGATGCTCTTGGTGTAAGCGATCGTCGATCTTAGATGCTTTCTTCAACCAGAATAAGATAAACGTATTTTTTCTTTCTTCCACTTTTTAGGTCAAATACGACTACCTTTTCAAAGATTTGTTGATCTCGAGAACGGGAATTATTCACGGTCGTCTAAGGAATATGGAGATTCGCGTAGTCGTAGGATTGGATATGAACACCTACAAAATTATCCTTCCTACGCTCCAGATCCAGAAAATCGAGTAACTGTCGCTACTTATTTCCATATATGTACCTTGCTTTATTCGATCAAACGGTCCCTCTTCAAATTCTCTTTCATTTTCAGACAATTCGTGGTGACTCTCGAGGGCCATAAACTCGATCCCATTCTGAACGCTGCGGTCAAAGCATTCACCACAATTTTCCGGAAGAAGGTGACATCTATGGTGGAAAAAGAAGTTTTGAAGGTAGTACGATTCTACGTGGAGCAGATCAACGAAAATATTCCAAAACCAGACCGCCTGCACGATAACAACGACATTCTGGATTACGTACCGGCATCGTTCTTATTTCGTCTTGTTTAACCTATCATGATACTTTCTGTACTACCAAAAGGAGAAATGTAATAAAAATTCCTGAGATCCTTTTCCAAGAGTATTTCTATCGAAACGCCTACATGAAGAAACGTACGTGAAGAAATTTTGCGTCAGCGTTGTAATATGATATGCATATGATATCAGCCGGTACTTTGTGTCCCAACGGTAATGCGAAAACTTGAACTGAAATTAGCTTGAATTGTCAAGATATTCATCTAACTTTCCAATTACAAGTTACAATACTTAAGGTACAGCTATTTCACCTCGAGGGAAGCTGTTGGAACTCTGGGGAACGAACGTCGTTCAATCTTCACACGTATTACTACGTAACAAATTGATTTTGTAATTATGTAATTCTTAATTATCTCATACGGCAAGTCTGCTGTAGCAAATATGTTTCGACAAACGTAAGCACATTTTCCTGGATATCACTTGGATTCGATGAAATTCAATTACATCGAACTGAAGCGAGTCAAATGAAAAAGTGAGGCGAGGCGACGCGACACAGCTCGAATCGAATGGAATCGAATCGGATCGAATCGAAGAAAGTCGAGCCAAACGACTATGCGTCATCAGGAAGCCGAGTCGGCGCGACTCAAGCCGAACGAAGCCGAGCCGAGCCGAGCTGTGTCGAGGAAAGCCGAATCGAGAGCGCAGGACGCGGCTGTTTAGTGGCAGATGCACGCTTCGAAACACGCAACTGTCAAGCAGCCTTTCGGTCCAACATTGATCAAACACCGAACCAACCACTGAACGATACAGATTAGAATACATTTCGTGATGGGCGCATTAACGAGAATTCGTTCGATCTGTTAGATTCCCGATGACGTTTCGACGAGAATGAACATGGCAAAGCGGCAACAAGGATAAAGAACAATTGTCGAAATGTATTGCTTGTTAACGAAGTAAACAACACAGATTAGAAGGAGGGAGGTAGGAACGCGTGGTAAAACGACAAAAGAGCTGAACAGGAGAAAGGTGCTAGAAGTCAGAATCGGTGAATTCGCGAGTCGCAAAGAGGCAGGATAAGGAAGGTAGGGCAGGGCAGGACAGGGCATGGCAGGGCAGGGTAGGGTAGGGCAGGGCACGGCAGGGTAGGGCAGGGCAGGGCAGGGGAGATTAGAACAGGACTGGACTGGACAGGACAAGACAAGACACGACAGGGCAGGTCGAGTCCGAATTTGAGACGCAAGTTGAATCGTGATTGGAAAGGAAACGGGGAAAAGTAGTTGAGGAAGTAAGAAGAAAAGGAGAGAAAAGCTGGAGGGAGTTTTGGTAGTAGAAGGAACGGTCTGGCAGAGTAAAATAGTAAAGAGGATTGCAAGCGGTGACGAGCGGTGACGAGCGGTGGCGCGCGAGGCGGCGCCGAGTCGGGCCGAGCGGAACCGAGCGGAGCCGAGCGCAAGCTCGAGCGAGGCCGAAGCCGAAGCTGAAACCGTAGGTAAAAGCGAAGGAAGGTTCGGAGCTTGGGCTCGCCGCGGTAGCGGTGGTTAGCGCGAGCGGGTAGCCAGCCAGGCGGATCGGCGGCGTGTCGCGAGCGAGTACGGCCGAGGACGTGCGCGCGCGCGTTTAGTAATCGACTGCTCGCTGTTTCCTTTCGGCAACTCTTCACGACTCGAATACTCGTCGGGCTCGTATTTTCGAGGCGGGTGCTACGCGTCTTCCCGGCTGAACGCGCGCGTGTACCGGCCGTGTATGGACGGCGGCACGCGTGCACGAGTCGAGGAGGAAAAAGCCCTGGATTCGTCTCGCCTGCGATCCTCCGCTCGGCTCAGCTTCGCGAGTTCCTCCTCGGCCGGCAGCCCTCGAATCGCCAAGCGCAAACGGAAGAAGAGGAGACGTCAGCAACGACGGAACAGTAACGTCGACGACGAGGACGATCTCGTCGTCGTCGGCGGTGGTAGTGGTGGTAGTGGCGACGGTGGCGGCGGTGTAGACTCCGTCAACGCGATCCTCGCGATCAAAGAAGAACAGCAACAGCAGATAGGAGAGGCGACGATTTCAAGCGAGGAGCCAACGACGAATAAGCAAGCGAAAAATCGGCTTCAACACACCAACGAATCTCAACGTAACGTAACCAGAGGAGGAAGCGGCTCGCGCGCGGCTGCCTCCTCCCTCAGTTCCGGCAACACGCTTCTCAACCGTCGTGCCGCCAGCAAGCGATCGTCCAGGAGATGCAACGCGAGCGCGCGTAGAAACGCGATGACGATGGATCTCCAGAGACTGATCACAGAAGTACACGCCAGGCCCGCGATCTGGGACCAGAAGAACGTGAACTATCACAATCGCGACGTCATCCTGAAGATGTGGCGAGAGATCGCGAGAGCTTGCGAGGTCTCCAGTGAGTATACACCTCTCCCTTCCTCTCCACTTCACTCCTCTCCGCGTTGCTCTTTTCTTTCCGCCTCTTCCATTCGCGCCTGCGTCGCTAGCTTATCTCTCCTTCTCTCACTTTCTCCTTCTGCTCCTCCTCTTCCACTTTTTCTTTCCCTCCCACTGTCTCTTTTTCAACCGCTCCTACCCCACTCCATCCCCCTCACCCCCACCCCTTTTCCGTGCCGTGGCCTGTGATGCTACGTAATATATAAGCGTGTGTGTCCCTTTCGTTTGTCGATTGAGCGAACGATGCGAATAGGCGATCCGGTCTCTTTCCTATTCGCTCGAGTTGCGATCGATGGATTTGGCTTGGTAACGAAAAACAATACTTTCCAAGAACGAAGTACGTACGATCGATCGTGACCACTTGTCAAGTTGATTTTTTCGAACGTTGCTAGAACGTCGATAGGAAGGTATAATTTTAGGTAGCAGGTTCGCGCAAAGTTCCGCACGAGGTCGCGCCGGGTCGAATTTACCGGAATTATGTAGTATCATCGATTAGACATCGGGCGCCATGTGCCATTTCCAGCATACGTGCATAATATGTGCATATACGTATGTATATCGGATAGCTGATCAGAGAAGGTTAACGTTTTCTAGTCGAGATTTGGTTTATTCGCGTGGCTTCGCGTATATCGACGCGGCTTCGAAGCGGTTTCTCAAGGCAAACACAGTTAACGAACAATATTGGTTTGCAGCGGACGTCGCGAAATCGAAATGGAAACACTTACGAGACAATTTCCGCAACGAATTAAAGAAAACCTATCGAGGAAAATGCGACGGTGGTGGGAACGAGCACGACTCGAAATGGGTCTGGTTCAAGAGCCTGTTCTTCCTACGGGATCAAATGAACTCGAGGGTGATCGGGTGTACCCTTTCGCAGAATTGTTCGGTAGCTCTTCGGTCGTCGCCGGAAGGGACACAGATCGAGCCACAGATCGACATTTTAGAAGGACACGAGGAAACTCAATTCGACGATCTAGACGGGGATTCGTGTCAATCTCTGCTCTCGAACGAGGATGGTCTGCATCAAGTGATGCCCCCGCCTAAAATGAACAAACTAGGTAGAAAGAGAAGTCTGATGGAGGCGATAGACAACGATTATTCGGAGGTGGATCGAAAGAGGTTCGAGTCGTTGCAAAAGAGGCTTAGCGTGTCGCAGGAGGAAGAGGACGACACTTATCACTTTCTCATGAGCGTTCGAAATCCTTTGAAAAGTTTACCGCTCGATAGGCAGATGTTCGTCAGGCTCAAGATTCAGGAGCTGGTTTACAACGAGATCAATTCGCAGAATCAGCAGCAGAATCGAACGTACGTGAACGAGATTTCGCAGGATGTGAAGCCCCCGAGAACGGGAAACGGTACCGGAACGATTGGAACCGGAGCCGGACCTGGTGGAGGCGGAGAATCCTTGGGGGGTGGCGATAGGGGCGGAGGCGGGGCTGGAATAGGGGGAGGGCAGACCGTCAACGACGCGTCCAACCCCGTATCGTTACTGCAAAATTGCACGGCAGAGGGTTCCAGCGACGATACCTTCTTCGGTTAATTTAATTTACCTTCTAAGATGTAAGAACGATAATTTTATTAATAGAAAATAAACAATGGTATTTTTTCAGTATCTCGCCGCATGCAACTTTTTTCCCTGTTCGTGGAGAGTCGGTAATTAGCGGTTGGAATTTTCGGCAAACGATCCCTGCCTTGTCTGATGCGGCGCCGAGTACATACATAATTGTTCCTTCTAGGCAAGGTAAATGGAAAACTATAATGTTCAAGTGGTTGTTCGGTTATTACACGTGAGATGACGTGCGACAGATCAAGTTCGCGCGTTAACGTCGCAATTATTTCACGCGCTAATTTCTCGGCCGCTGCTACCTCTCTCCCAAGGACGTATCCGAGGCCGCCACGGTTTTCTCGCTTAAACGAGGTGTATTTGCGCGTGTATCGCCGCAACAATACGCCGATGTATGCATTGATGAATCAGAGGCCGAAACCTGGTCCCTTCCTCGTTAATCATCGAGCAATTCGGACGATATCACCTTTAAGTTGGTTTTCATCCGCGCGAGCCGTAGGCTCGGTACGCGGCTAGGTACGCGGCTCGGTACGCGGCTCGGTACGCGGTTCGATCGAACAAACTGTCGCTCATTCCACGTGTATCGACTGCGCACAATAGAAGGATCTATTCGAAAGCATCCTACGTACTTGTGTATCTGTCAGGATGGGTATATCGAACCGACGTCGTAGCAACACCGTAGAATAGTATTCTACCGTAGTGCGGTATTGTACGTTCCTCCGTGCAACAAGATAAAGTCGTTCGAATCGAGTTTGCACCAGTTCCTCGGAACTGTATGCCGAGCCGGTCACTCTGACCGCTGTTATCGAACAGGCATCCAACGAAACGGCTCCCCCCCGGTTTGGCTTTAATTAAACCAGGTTACCCGGTTCTGTCTTTTAACCTTTCGGCGCGTTATCGGCTATCGTTATACGGAAATTTGCGAAGCAACGCGAAATAACGAGGTAACTTTTCGTTCGAATAGAAAAGCCGCGTCGTCTAGACGGGATGCGCTATATTTGCACGGTATATTGCACCGGTTGAATAGCTTATTCGAAAGTCTGCCTCGTAGTCTGCTGCTCAGCGGACCACTCTCGGTTTTTCCATACAAAGAGGATTAGCATCGTCCTCTTTGTCTCTCCCACGTCTTTTTCTTCCCCGACGCTTTTCCAGTCTCCGCCAGCTTCGTTGCATTTATTATACTTCCGTCTTATTAACCGGGGAAAATCGATCAATTTCTAGCGTTAAGCAGACACTTTCGCGTTCCAACCGTACGCTGCCTTTCACGATCGAGCGTACATACGGTGTACTTTAAAAAACGCACACACGTTTACGTCGAGGTGGAAAGAACGGTTGACAAGCGAGTCGACGACCGGCAGAGATTTTCTTTGATCACAAAGGAAAATGCAATCGCTCTCTGTCTCCACTCTGCCTCCAGCTGCGTTCGTCTTCTACAATCGACGGAGGCTTTCACTCCGTACACGTGTTTCTCCTTAACAAAAAAAAAAAAAAAAAAGGAAGAAGAAATCGGACGTAGCGTTATTCGCGGGAAAAAGTTGTCGTGTGGTTGGGGGGTCTGTCTCGTTCCTTTCTCTCCGTCCTTCTTTCCTGCTATTTGGAAATTAGTCGCGACGATCGGATAGTGACTTGGCTGGCAGTCGACGGTATGCCCGGGCCCGGCCCAACGCACAACAGGCGGAACGAACGCGCGAAAGCAAGCGAGTGAAACGAAGGCCTCGGGCTCGAGTTCGCGACTCGCCAGTGAGACTTCAACTAGCGTCCGAACCGGTGCATTCCACGCGATTTCTGTTCGGTCGCGAGTGCGCGTCCCTTATTTTCCGAAGAGGAAATGGAACTTGCCGCGTGTTTCACCGTTTCACCTTCCAAATGAAAATTTTCACGGCGGAACGATTCGGCGACGGGGACCCGATTTTTCGAGGAATTGGAAAAACGGCAAGCTCGTCGGCGACACGAAGTAAGTGTACGCACGCAACTTTCCGTCGTCCCCGCGAACGTCGATGAACAGACGGGGGACCTCGCGCCGACCGTAATTAACTCGACCGACCTTACGACACCGACAATCGACGCGTTTCGTTCGTTTCGATTTTGATCTCGATCGATCCAGGCAATTGCTGTCCCTGTACATTGCACGTACCACGTACCGATTTCTATAACAGACGCGTTCTCTCCTAGATCTTGCAGACAATGCCAGAGGCATGCAACTCTGTTCGTTCAGTGTTTGGTCTTTTTTACTCGTTGCTACAATACTTGAGCGGTTGGAATTTGTTCGATGCAACCCATATGGCGAAATGGCCGGTAATGCCTTATAAGGTTGTTGGACGGTGGCGAAACCGGCCTTCGGGCGCGTTTGCTTTTCAAATTTCGCAACTCGAAACCACCAACCAGGTCTACGGTGAAAAGTATAGCGCGATAAAGTGGACGTTTGCCGGCGCCAAAGGTCAAGAGATTAGGAGGAAGGAGGAACAGTGGCGCGTGGTATCGATGAAAAGGAAAGCTCGGAGGAACGGGAATAACTGGAGAGTAACGGGCGAGTGGTGCACGTCGAGGCGTGGCGGTGCATAAACTGTCGCACTCGACTGAAACGTGTTTGCGCGGTCACGTTGGCAACACCAGCAGGAAATAGCTCTGATCGCGTCGCGTCGGCCCGCGTTTGCGCAAATCTTCTCCAACGCGGTCAAACGCGAATTCGAGAGTTTTCCCGAGGAAAGGAATGGTTGTCTGCCGGGGTTGGGTTAGGTTGGTGAGTGGAAAGGAGATTGTACAAGCACGAGCAAACCAAAGAGAGCGGAGCGATCTGGCAACAAGGTGGTTTGAGCAAACGCGTAGCTACGCGTGCAACGTCTGGCGACCAACGATCGCCCGTTTGAGAAGCGGCATGTGAACTCCTGGCCCCCCTCAGTCGGTCTTCGAGCGCGGCCATCCACGCTACGTTCTTCACGCTGTCGCGCGTCTCTTGACTCATGGATCGGGGCAGCATGTCCACGTCCGATTTGGTCGGGTACACGCACGACTTCCTCACCGAATTCATTCAGCTCTACCGAAGCTTCCCCTGCTTGTGGCAGGTCAGGTACAAGGGATACAAGGACAGGTTGAGACGGTGATAAGGAAGATCAACACCCTGAGAACCGCGTTCAGGAGAGAGTACAAGAAGGTGCGGAGCTCGCAAAAGATGGTGAGGAATCCTCAGCAGCGATACAAATCTTCGTTATGGTATTACGATATTTTGAAGTTCGTCGCGGAACAAAACGAGGCGGCGAGTCCGCTGGACGAGGACAGGGACGTTAAGAACGCCATGGCCCCGGCGGATCTCTCTCAAGAGGAGATGATGATGATGGTACGACCTCGTCCAATTTTTCTCCGAGCTGCGCCGCGGACCTTTCTCTCCTTCCATCTCCCTCCATCGCCCTCCTTCTCCGCTTACCAACCGTTTTAAATGCCCCACGACGACTCTTGACAAATCGAATTTTAAATCGGTTACGATTGCGCTTCGTTTCACAACGCGTCACGACCGAGCGTGGCGCCTGCACCGATAAAACAACCAGACGGATACATATTTCGCGAGCGATGCGTCTTCGATGCGAGCACCGTTTCTCTCTCCTCTTCCTTTCGCTCCTTCTCCCACCGCTTTCGTTCGCCTCTTCCCTCCCCCCCCTCTATCTCTGTCTCTCTCTCTCTCTCTCTCTCCCTCCGGCCAGCCTGTATCGATCCGAAACTCGACAACCGCCGCACACAACGCAGGAAATTACGCGTAAATCGGAAACAAAGTCGAAACGTTCGCTGCGCGTTTACTCTCCTTCCAACCACCGTATGCTTCCCGCTACATACTCTTCTTTTCCATTTCATCGAGAGCAAACTCGTTCGTTCGCTTCCACCTTCCAATTACAGCTAGCAACCAAACGTTTTTTCTAGTCCGTGCAAACCGACGTAGACAAGATCGAGCCACCGTCGCCTGTACCGTCTCCGGAAGCTAGCCCCGTCCCGGCCTTCCAACCGGTCATCTTGGAGACCGAAGGCTCGTACGCGAGAAGAATCTCCTCCTCCGGACTGGCCGATCCTTCGAGAAGAAAATACCATCAGGATGGTTTTCAGGATCGCCATCAAACCAAGGAGCCGACGCGCGACCTCTCCCCGCGACAGTTTGCCAGCTGCGTGACGGACGATGATTTCGAGACGTTCGGCCGTTACGTGGCCAGTAAATTGAGGAAGTCGATGCCTCGGCAGAGTATCATCGCCGAGAAGGTAATCGCGGACGTCCTCTTGAGAGCCAATCTCGGTACCTTGGAGGAGACCACTTGCCTCACGGAGAAAGTACCGTCGCGTTGCTTCTTGGTCATGGGCGATCGTTGAACGCGCACCACCGCCGTCCTTTTTTTTCTCCATCATCCACCTATGTATTAAACCAACCTACGTACATATGTACTTACTTACATCTCCGCTACGGAACGCCAACGAGTACGAAACCCTCGGAAAAATTTCCGCGCGACAATAGCGGACAGGTCGCAATGCGGACAAATAAACGCTGGCAGCGAGCCAACCAAACCGACTTTTTCCCCTTTCTTTTCCCTTCTTTTCTTCCCTTTTCTTCTCTTTTCTTCTTTATACACCTATATGGAAAAGTAACGGACTACCCTACGTATTTTTCATACGAATAAACCACCTTCTACGTACAGAGATGACTTTCGATAGACGATATAGGCTTGTCCTTCAAAACTTTACCGATAAGAGTACATCGCTCGGACGGCTTATCGCATATAAACCAGTTATTACCAAACTGCTCTCCTTTTTTCCATCTCTCCGAAGAACGTTCGTCGCCTCTTTCTTCGCCGGAACATCCACTGTACATTCACCTGTTTCGAATCAAACTGTTCCTTAGAATATATACAATTACCAAATGTACTACCACGTGTTCGTTACAAGCACGACTATACTCCTCCTTCCAAACTAAGAAAATATCCAACACAGTATGTTCTGTATATTAGGAACGAAATTCACAAGAAGACGAGGTGGCCGAGTGGTTAAGGCGTTGGACTGCTAATCCAATGTGCTCTGCACGCGTGGGTTCGAATCCCATCCTCGTCGACGTTGTTTTATCTTTTTTTTCTTTTTAATTATATTTTTTCTCCGTTTAGGGACAACGTTAAAATTGACGAAAGTCAACGATCGAATGTTTCGAAAAATTATAAATAGAAAATAACACAGACCTTTTCAACGAGAAGTTGTACATTGTACATATGCAGTATGCTACCCACTCGTTACTTTTAACATCCTCCTTCTATTATTAATGCCAATAAAATATACGCATATATATATGTACATACAGAAAAAGTTGAACGGTAAAATAAATGAAACGTGTTGTAGCAACAAATAGAACAACGGTAGAATTGAAAAGAACAACTAAAAAGTTAACGTAGAAAAGTCAGAATACAAACTAACCTATAAAATCGAGTAGAGAGAAAGAGAAAATAAAAAATGTATATATGATAAAAAATAAAAAATTATCCTCCCCGTCGGGGAATCGAACCCCGGTCTTCCGCGTGACAGGCGGGGATACTAACCACTTTTTTTTTCTTTTCAACATACGTTTATTGTGCCGCAACAAATAAATACAACAATATATACAAAAGGTACAATAAACCATAACGTACAAAAGGCAAACGATGATAAAGGTACATATGAGATCGATGGCTCGGAGTTTGAGCTCTCGCGATCTTATCTTTAGTCTATCCTACTGCGCTTATCGCTTAACTTAATATAGAACTTAAGGCTAGCTTATACTAGGAGGTAGATTTCTTTATGTACAGAAAAGGCGCTCGAAACTGTACATCAGTCATTGGTTCTTTGACGGGGGATGAAGGAATGAGAAGGGAAGGGAAGGGAAGGGAAGGGAAGGGAAGGGAAGGAGGAGAGGGAAGAGTGCTAATATGTAATAATTGTTATGGTTGTGCAGTTCGAGCTGCTGGAAAAGATGTTTGAGCTCGACCATAAATTCTTTTTTGCAGCTACTCGTCGCATATCCCGCTATTATAAATAGTTTTTCGGTGTTTTGTAATTTCAGCTCTATTACAGTTGCTTCGAAACATGTGGTGTTATTTATGGTGATGTGTTTGCATGTGATATTATCTTTGATTATAATGGCTGTTCCCCCAGCTTGTTTAGCGTTTGGTCTGTCTGTTCTGATAACTCTGTAATTTTGAAAGTCAATTCTGTGTCGTGGGTTTAGTTTCGTCTCGGAAAGTAGTAATATGTCGGGTTTGTATGTTTTAATGCAGTCTAGGAGGCTGACTCGTCTTTCGTTCGTGATGATTGAGTTTACATTTATTTGTATGATGTTTAGCTGTGTGAGTGAGAGCTTATTGCGTGGTCGTGTTTGTGGTGATGTGTGGAAGTTGAATGTTAAAAATCTATTCCAAGGGTTTCTACTATGAAGTTGATTCTGTTTGTGTTTAGTTCAACGGCCTCTGCGATTCGGGCAATTTGATTATTTATTGAGTTGGTAATTGTTTTTATTTCTTCGAGGAGTGTTGGATGGTGTGTGTTGGTTGTCGCTTTTTGTGTTTGCGTATTGTTGGTCTGTGCGCTTGTGTACGTATCTGTGTGCGTCTGGGGTCGTTTGCCTGTGAGCATCGCGCTGTAGGAGATGCCTGGGTCAACGGTTCTACGGGATAGATGTAGTTTTCTCTCTCTTTCTTCCTTTAGGGACTGTTTTCTTTCCTCTGTCTTTTGTTTTATTTCTATAAGTTTTGGGCATCCTCTGTAGGAGGCGGGGTGTCCAAAGCTTTTACAGGTTACCGCAGTAAGGTTTAGTTTCAGATGTTTTTTCTCGTGTGCATTCGCCCGGGTTGTGTGGAATATTGCATTTCACACATCTGTAATTTAGATTACAGTTCAGTGCAATGTGGCCAATTCTTTGGCACCTTTTGCACTGAACTCGGTCTTTCTTTATGATTTTTTCCCATGTAATCAGGGAATGCAAAACTATTTTTATTTTTTTTAAGTTGTCCGGTTTGCTATCTGGAGACAGCTGTACTATATGCAGATTTTTTCCTTCTGCCAGTGATCTCTTTGTCTCGAATTTTTTTACCGATGTAAAATTTATACCGTTTATGTTTTTTGCGCCAAGTTCGTCTAATACTGTTTCGGGGTCGAAGTTACCGTCAAGATTTTTTAAAAGTATAGAAATATTTTTCTCTTGTTTTGGTATGTAGGTGTAATATTGTATATTGCGTGTTTTTAGGGTTTCGCAAGTTTTCTTGTACGCGTCTGAGGTATCTATGTACAATAGGTGCTTGTTCGGGCTGATTTTTTTTGTGAAGAAGTTTTTAGTTATTTTGCTTGTTAATTCTATTGATATTTTGCAGGTGGCGTCGATAATGGTAATTGGGGGTGGTTTTACGTTTTTACCTAGTGTTTCTGAGGTGGAATAGCTGTTGGCTCGTGCTCGGCCCTGGGTGTTGGTGTATGGGGTTGCTACTTGCAGTTGGGCTCGTAGGCGGGCTCGTGTGGGGCCTTTTTCCTGGGCCGACCTTCGTCCACGCGTCCTTGCCGGGTATTTCGTGAGGAATGTCCATTGGGACCTCGGGGTTTTCCGCTGGCCTGCTTGTTTTATGAGTCACTTCTGACTCCTTTCCATTTCTCTCCCTTTCTTCTTTTAGCTGCCTTGTTAGCTCGCTCACCGTTTTGGTTAATTTTTCTATTAATTTCAGCGCCTCGCTAAGTTGGGTTTGTTGTTGTTTTTCGGGCGATTTTCTTGAGGATGGCATGTTGATTGATTTCTAATATTTGATAAATTCGGTGTCGGTGTTATTATTTTTTTTGAATTTTTTGTCTTTGGGTTGCTTCTAATTTGCACTTGCACATTTGACAGGCTCTTTTCTGTTAATCCTTTTTGTCTTATTGTTTTAATAATTTCTTCGATGTTTTTAGTTTTTGATGAGTTTTGTTCATCATTTATCGCAGTTATCGAAGTTAGCATTTATCTTGGACAGATGAGCGTGGCGTTCTTCTGTCAACGGTACCGCGTCGCCTGGGCGGCCATTAATTCGCGAGGAACTTTGAATGCTAATAATTTTTCGCTCACTGAACGGATTTTAAAAATTTATATTACAGAGTAAACGCTGTCGCGGACACTTTGAATTGCTGTCTAGCACTTTATTATTCTCTCGGTTTTTACCACTTTTAACAGTTCAATTCGACGAAGAGGTTCGCGACGCGTGTTCGCTGCTCGCCGTCGAAACAAAAGAGGAGATACTAACCACTATACTAACGAGGATTTGTTGTTAACATTTTTTTGTTTATTCGTATTACAGTGATACCGTTGCGTTCATCTTTCGTTACGCCGGTGCGTGCCTTTTTATCTGCCTTCGACAGTTTTACAGCACGCTCTTGAGTTTCCTTTCTTCTGGTTGCGTCTGCGTCGTATAAGATTCTTTCGTCGTCTGCCTTTCGCGCGACGTGGTAAACGAGTCGTGTGTTTTCTTTCTTCCGTATGTTCCCCTCCGCTGTGTAGGTGTAGGAACGTCTCTGGTGGTGTGTCGTGTTTTTTCCTGGTTAGTGCATCGGGGTAGACGAAACTATTTATTATTGCTTTTTTCGTTTCTGACGCTTGCCCGGTAGTTTCTTGCGAGTGGGAATACGTGTAGGTCTATTCCGATGGTATCGAGATACTAATTAATTACAAGTATGTACAAGTGTAAGGATAATTTATTAGATTGAGGAAACTACAGAACATACTGCGACGCACTCGGTTCCAGAACGACTCGAAACCCGCGATCCGCTTTTCCGTCCTTAGCAATCACACAACGCTGTTCTTTTGTTTCGCAGCTCAGACAGACACACGCATGCGCATGCGCACAGTGCACAGCACTTACAAAATGTAGTGTTGACTTTTGCCATTTAATGTTGAAATGAATATGATATTCTTTTTACCATTCTACTTTTATTTATAAGTAAATTTAATAATTATTTCACAGTACAGTAAATTCTCCACAAATGTCAGTGCGCAAGGAACCTAAACCTGACACTTGTAGAGTCAGGGACTACGTTTTCGAGCTTCGCGCCCGCCTTTGTAGTTTGCCGAACGTAGACAAGGACAGCGAATAAAAGATAAGGATGAAACGTGAGTCGAGGCAACCAAGCGATTTAAATACCAACTTTTTTAATTTTACGTTTTTTGCCTGGAATGATACCGTAATAAAAGGTCTTGTAAAACAGACGACGTTCTTCGATGCCTACCTGAAGTAGAATAGCGTGGAAGTTCCTGCAAGAACGAGACAATGGTTGCAAACGGTATAGAATAAATTCTTATTGCTACCACCGATAAATTAAGCGTTACGAACCTTATAGTTTGTAAGAGAACTATCATGGTTAGACACGTTTCTATGTGAACGTTGAACCTTTGTTAAAAACTTTGTATAGAATTGTAGGCACTAAAATTCGAGAGGAGAACCCTGTCTG